TATTTTGGAGAAGAGATATACTGGAATTCCCTGACTGATAAAAGTTGTTGCAGCAAGCCTGGCAAACCTAAACAACAAGTAACATTACTTAGAAATGTATTCATTAAAAGAATTTGAACAATAATTTTGTGGCTGGTTTCACTTTTCCGTGTGCCATTAATTACCTAAATGAGTGGCCAGATTACACTTTAAGCCTCTGGTTAATCACAACTTGAGTATATCATCTGCCAGGTTGTTGGTTTTGCTTTATTTTGTTTTTTAAACCTGGATCAGATTTGTTGTACAGACCAGGCTTACACTTGTACTTTGTTACCAACATTGAAAAAAAAAAAAGCAAATCTATTAAAAACATATCTTGCAATGGATGGCACACAAACACTGAAATCACACACACAAGAATTTACTTTACAGATTTTCGAAATGCTGTTGAAGCAGTGATGACATTGTAATGCATATGGACACATGTAAAATAATCACCATTTCTACATATTATTAGCTATACCTCTTGCTGCTTCCTCCACTGGAAGGATGGGCACGAGCATCACAGCCAATTACTACGCCTCTTTTATTTAGGTCACTGAAGTTCTTTTCAAGGTATCTACAAAATCCCTAAAAGACAGAAAGTTCATAGAACCAAACCTTAGTATTTCATATATGGTTGCAACAAATTTTAAAAGTTTTAAGAAAGAAAGCAAGTGAAATACTTCATTAAGTTGATTTTGGATACAATCTTTAGGATAAATAAATACAAATCTCCAACTAAGAAAATGATCCAAGTTGTCAAAGGACTACAGTGAATTCTGATTATTTTTTTTATAATACGAGAATTTCAAAATAAGAATTCCAAATATAAAGGGTAAGCACGATTATTTGGGATAACAAAAGTAATTCAGATATCCTCTTCCCTACCTGGGAACTTGTCATCACCAGGGGTTTTCTGTTTCCCACGGAAAAATGGAGAAAACCACGGATTCTGTTTTTATCAGAGAAAACGCGAATTTCCCTTTTTGGCAGAGAAATCTGTGGATTCTTTGCTTTTGCAAAGAGCTCTTGCAAACTGGCACAGCTCCAACCTGCAAGAGCTGATTGCAGAAAGGGCGGGAAATCCCCAGCCCTGGCCAGAGGGGCAGGGAGAGGGGGGAGGGTGGGCCTGAGCCTCTGAGGCAGCCAAGGCCGGGCTCACACACTCACCCTTTGCCCCCGGAGCATGGAGGTAAATGGGGCTTCGGGCAGGCACACCACAGCTGGGAGCTGGGCCAGGGGGTGAGGGCAGGGGTGTCCCTCTGCAGTGGGGCTTTGCAGGCAAGTGATGCGGGGCGCAGTGTGGTGGTGCCCACCATATGCAGGCCACACACATGCTGCCCAGCCGCCTGTCCAGGGAAGGGGAAGAAGGAGACTGGCATGTGGTTGGAGCACAGCTCTGCGGCTGGCGCAGCAGCAGCCACGGCGAGGGATGGGGACGCGGGCTGGCACTTGGCCACCACTGCCACTTACCTGGAGGACTGTGATGGCTGCTGCCTACAGAACCTCCTGCTGCTGCCGCGGAGCCATGCCCAGAGCTGTACAGCCAGTGGCAGTGGTGTGGTGGGGATGGGAATGGCTGCATGCCACCTGGCCACTACCACTTTATGCTGCTGCCACTGGCTGCACAGCTCCAGGCACGGCTCCGCGTCAGCAGCAGGAGGTTTTGTACGCAGCGGCAGCCTCCCATGCCAGCGGTGACTGCCGACA